TCATGTTCATTATCAGTTCACATATTAAACTGTTTTACTAAGGCTGAGTAGGTAAAAGTCATCAAAGCAAATTCAGAATTATTAATTAGAAAAAATAAGAAAAATAATCATTGATGACTTAGTATACAATTTTATATATATATATATATATATATATATATATAATTAGATAAATAACCCTCCCCAACCTATAACTCTCTTAATCTATGTTTACAATGTCACTCCCCCACTTCCCCCACTAGTAATAATAAACCTGCCTAATATTTTTACACCAATCAAAATTTTAAATTTAAGTTTATTTTCATAAAAAGTTTTGCATACTGAGGAATCAGACAGAGATTGCGTTTTTGCTAACAATATGATTTCCACCAGAAAATACACTGTCTACAAAAACATCTGTTGGTGAGTATTTCCCATTTCTCTGTTTATTTCTCAGTCCATTCATGAAGGACACAGGCTTGTCCAAAAATTCTGAACTTAAACCCTTTCTTTAAATGCTTTATTTGTCATATGGTTAATAATTAATATTTAATGTTTATCATACTGATTATATTGGTACCCTTTCCCATATATATATATATATATATATATATATATATATATATATATATATATATATATATTTAAGTAGCAAGAATTTATCTAAACAAGTTTTGTTCAATTCAACCAACAAAGTCTGTCTACTTTTTATTGGTTCAATTTATGAATAAATTGTTGTACATCAAAATCAAATTCAAAAACTGGAAAAATACAATGAAAATGAAAGACTGATCATGTCAGTTGAATTTAACATGACTTGTTTAAAAATGTTTCCTTAAAAATGGCTGTCAAGGTGCTTCGGTTAAGTTTTTATTGCATTTTTCTTGCATGCAAACAAGTACTTTCTTCCTTAAGCTGTTTTTACATACAAGAAAAATACAATAAAATCTCAGCAGAAGCACATTATCAGTCATTTTTAAAGAAACGGGTATCAGAAGGGAACTGTAGTCAAAATACCCAACAGCTCCTCAGTGTGATTAAACATCTGAATGCTTCAAGCCAGGACTGAAACCTGACCAATTTTGGCGTCAGTCAGACTTTCTACCACTGAGCTATCATCATTCAGCAGAGAGAAATAGCTAATTCTAGCATATTGTTTTTACGAATGTAAACAAACACCAATCAGTCAGAGGGCTCCAATTCATTTTACTGAAGAGCTTTGCATTAGCATAGGTAACTGTTTTTTATAGAATCAGCCTATTTCTCAACAGTTCTCAATTGAAATATATATTTTTTCAAGAGCATAATTATGTCATTTGCAGACAGGTACTGTTTTGTTATATCACAGCTCCCCAGTCATACTGAGGAGGGTTTACAGTGAAACAGTACTGTCTTCGAATGACACACACAGACACACAAACACACATTGATTCCTTTATATATATATATATATATATATATATATATATATATATATATATATATATACAGACTAGGAGACCCTGAAAATTCTTTTGCCCAACCAAGAAACCATTTCCTGGCAAATTTCTGATGTTTGTTCAGTTTTGGTTAGTGGATTGGGCTGAAAACATTTAAAAACATCTTCATGTATATCTGAGAAACTAAACACACAACTATCATGCTTTTTTTTTTTTTAAGTGCAAACAAATATGAATTAACCAAAACCATAAACATCAGCATAAATAGTAGTAGCATTAGTGGAAATGATGGTGCTAGTGATCATAATAGTAGTAGTAAAAATTGTAGTAAATATAACAGTGAAAACATTATTAGAAAATAATAGTGGTAATGCAGAGGGCCAGCACGCTTGGTCACAAAATAAATACCACTACATGCCAAAGAATTACTAGAACTGTAGGCAAAACAACCAAAAACTCAAAAAACTTTAGACAATACAGGCAACATTAATGAAAAAAAAAGGTGATCACTGAACAAAGAAGAAGAGTAAAAAATACAAAGGGTAAACAAGATGCAATTTTATTTTTTATTTTTTTTTTTGTTGTATTATTTGTTTACCTGCCCGAGCCATTCCTGCATCTGTTCCATCTGCATTTTCTTAAGAGAAAATACATTAGTAAGTTACTTATTCTTTATGGAAAATATAAGAATTGTGTTTTCAAAGAATATAACAAAAAGAACCTCATTAATATTTCTTATACTGTCAACCCTTCCTCTTTTGTTGAATTTGGGATTCAAATATTTTGAAAAGGGAGAGTGTGTAGAAGCAAGAGAGGTTGTTGTAAAGTTTGAAAAAAAAATAATGCATTTTGGTCCATGGGACCCAATAATTTTAACAAAAATTTCAATTGTCAAAAGTGAGAGGTTGACTATATATATATATATATATATATATATATATATATATATATATATATATATATATATAATTATATATATATATCATATGAAAAAGAGAAGAAAAATAACTTTGAAAATGATGCTCAGAGGTAATATTTAATTAACAAACAAGACAGAAAGAAAAATACTATTTTTTATTACCAGTTTTTCTCCATATTACTGTTATGTGCATTTTAGATTAAGCATTTTTACTATTATTATTTTGTTACTAGTTTTAGTCCACCTTATTATTGTTGCTTTTAGATGAAACATTTTCATTACTATTATTTTATAACTAGTTTTACTCCATTTTATTATAACACTCCTGATTCAATGTATTCATTAAATGAATATAAAGACATAGTTTCCACTGAGACTTGAATATGTACTTGCTTTTTATGTATGTTGCTTGAACTAATTTGGCCATTCAAACCTTGATTTTTAAGCTGAACAGAAATCTGTAACCATTCTGCTATTTCTTCCTCTTAGATTTTGGAATGCATCTTTGCTTTTTTTAATGCCGTATCATGGCTCTCCACAGTTTCCTTCATTTTATCCTCTCTAAACTACCATGGCATCTTGGGAAAGATAGTAGACTGATTTCCTGTTGACCTTTTTAATGGTTTTTGAATTCAAAGTAGTCTTTCTCCTAGACTGGCTTCTGCCCAAGGCTAGAAAGCTCAGTCTTCTCTGATATTTAACCTATATTGGCTGAGAGGGAAGAGAGATGGGTTCATGCCTTTGCAATAAACATTAGTGCAAATGTGAATGCAACAGACTATGTTAGATAATAAGAGATACTATTTTGAAGTTTCTTAAATTTGTTCTTCTTAAGGAAAGACGTGATTTGTGGTAGGACTTAAATTTGAATCTCATACCTCAGGAACCTATCTTTCATGGACAATGCCTTAACTATTTCAGCTACTGAACAATATTTATAAACTATTTCTTTATTTAATTATCTATTATTAGATAGTAAGTATATTATTTATATTGCAAAACAAAAATGAAAAGGGAGATTAATCCCAGTGAAGTATGTATCTCACCCTAGATCATGCCAGAATAGACATTGCACTCAGTGCCCTTCAGAGAAACCAGGTGCAAGGTTGACCCGACAGATGACCTCCTGGCCACTGATTGAGAGCCACATAAAATATATATATATATATATATATATATATATATATATATATATATATATAGAGAGAGAGAGAGAGAGAGAGTAATTAACAGAGTCAGGAGTTGAAAAAGTCCTGTGTTATCATTAATCAGCACAATGACTGCATTACACCTGTTTCCTTGAGCACAGAAAAAAAACATTACAAAATCAATGGAAGTTTCTTGTTTGTTAATCATATATTTGGTTGCTAGTATATTTTGTTTTATTTGGTATAGTGTTACTTTCATCCTTTACAAGTTCAGATTAATTGATAAAGTCAAATAAATAGCATCAACAAATCTGTGATATTTGCTTGACATTCTTCTAAATGACACCAAAATAAACAATTGAAATTTGGAGAATATCCAAATGAAATTAATTAACAACAACAAAAGAAAAAAAAAGAGAAAAAGAAAGAAAGAAAAAGAAAATAATACACTCAAACATGTTGGTAAAAAAAGCTACAGCTGAAATACTTGTACATGTTTGTTCTGAGGTACCAGAGGGATTTCTGTTAAACATTTTAAATGATGTACCTTCTGCTTAAATTCTTTTTAACCTTTCAGCACACATTATTGATGAATATTTCTTCCTCTTACATTGCATTTTTTTTCAAGGGTATTCATCTCTAATAACCTCACTGTTGATTTCATTCAAGATCATTGGTTATGTTATTATAGCAGGATATAACAACACAACCACACTATTGTCAACTTGAATGCTAATAAGAAATCTTGAATGACTGATGGAATAAAAATGATTGATACTAACATGATGAAAGCTTTCAAAACATGAAAACAAAAAATGAAAATCCTGTGTAGCAAACTGAATGAGTTCTTTTCTGCTACCTACAAAGAAATATTAGCTTGATGAAAAACGAGAGGTTTATAAGAAACTTTCTCCAATTTACAAGGTATTGAATTTGTTGGCATATAAGATCCCTCCTCTGTATTTACATCTTATATTCCAGTATTATGGAGCCAGGCTTGGTAAACATTAACTTACTAAATACCTCAACTTCACATATAAAACCCAGGAGATATTTTTGAGTTATATTTTAGGGAAAAGGAACTGGAGTTTTAAATGCCATCAAATATGTATCTCAGATCAATACTGATATTAAAAAAGATTCTCTGAAATTCAGAGGTAAGTCATTGTCACTATTCCCTAAGTTTTTTGGACTAATATTAGTCATAACAATTCATGGAATAATAAAAATGACTGATCACAAAATCCTAATAAATACATTCAGTGGAAAACAAAACATATGCCTGCCATTAAGATTAGTTTACTCATCTTGGTTGTTATACCCACAATGTTTCTGACACTGGACCCTCTGACCTTCATCATTGTCTGTTATCATACTTGGTAACCTTCTCAGAATTTTGAACCAAACACTTTATTCAATCAACAAGTGTTGATCATATTCATTCTTTATTCCATACTTACAATATATCTCATATCATTTAATCCTCTCTAGTTTATTTGCTTTTTGTGTCCAGCT